GTATTAGAATATGTACATTATATTATCTATGACTTAATTAGACAACTATATAACATAAGATAATTTAAGTCTCAAATCAAACTTATACCTATTACCTACACGGCTACACAACTATATTTTACTTAGTAAAAATTACCTATAGGTAATTATAGTATTTAATAAACCATAATCAATAGATTAATTATTAATATACAATAATATGTTGTGAGTAGGTACATATATTATAAAACAATTGTATTACATTTTTTTTTTTTTTAATAAAAATCATGTCAATCTACAATACTATAAAGGCATACCTAGGTAATAATACGATACAATATCAAAAATATTTAAAATTAACCTAATAGCTATAATCTTAAGACAATTTCACCAATTTATTAGTTATAAGAGTTTTAAAAACCATTTACATATAGCATGTTTTTTTAATTAGTCATGACAGTATGTTTTCGTATAATATTGCCGGGTTTCTTATTGCTTAAACAATCACTAAACAATTAATCAATGGTAAACTAATAATGGTCCATTAAACATGATTTATTGGCCCATGATTGGTCCATTAGGTTTTATTGATCCAATAAATCAATCAATTATTATTGTATGAAACTCAGCATAATAATATAATATATCAGGTAATCTATTTAATGTGTGACACTTATTATTTCAAAAAGTATTAACGTTTTTTAAAAATATATCTTTTCATTGTTATTATTTATGAAGTATTTTACTTTTTTAAATAACAACATAGGTACAGTTCTATTTATTTATTTTATTTTTAGCCACGGCCCAAAGACCAAAGTACAGTTTTATTTTAATATTCCAAGCAAAATTTTCAATCAGAACATTTTTCTTAGTATTTCGATACATAAAAATCGAATTTAGGACGAGTATAATTTATGACACGGACTAAGATAGAGAGGACTGGAAACGAGCAATTTTTTAACCGGTCCGAAGTGTCTCTACTAATTTCCTAAATACATAGCTGTTTTTAACGCTACCTAGTAGTTGGGTGGAAAATTGAATGAAGATAAGAATGAAAATAATAAAAATCAATGAAAAACCAAAATCTAAATAGTTGATATTTTACCAAGCAGATAGCGTGCATGTGGCTATGTACCATTTGGGCAGGGAAGGCTAGAAGCTACCGAGGCAATTATTGCGGTCCGGATCTCCGGCTCCCCGTTAATATCCATAATTTCGTTTCTAGTCCTCTCTATCATAGTCCGTGGCTTTTAAGTTATAAGTTATAACTTAAAAGAATTTAAAGAGGAGTATTTGACCAATATTTTGCGAGGTAACTAAGTATAACTCCACTCCAATCATCGAAACTTTAAATACTTATAACTTATAAAATAGCTATCTTATATAATGTTTACACTAGAATCTAATAATAAACAACAAAAAACCACTTATAAAATACTCGTAGAAATCAAATTTGTATGCATCGAAATACTCAGAAATATATTCTACTTTCGAATATGATATTAAAACTGTATGTTGTTTTTCAAAAAAATAAAAAACTTAAAAAATTATAAGGTTAAAAATATTCAAAAATATAATTTAAAAAAAGTTATTTTGTAATGACTTGAAACCATATACAAAAATATTTTAAAAAACGTTAATACTTTTTGAAATAATGAATGCCTTTCGCCAAAAGGATTACCAGCGGGATTTATATTAATATTTAATAATACTATAATTTTACTTGTATTCATAAAAAAAAATCACT